TAGAATTCTGTGGTTTAGGTTGAACGCAAAATTTGGTGAACGCGCACCGGGTGAGAATAGCCACAAGACTCGCCTGCTTCCGGGTGAGAATAGAGGTGGCCTTCCAGGTCAGTGTTGATACATCGGTTGTCGAATAGATCTAGAGATCTATCTAGGCCTAGATCTAGTGGATTATACTATAATGTCACACAAGTCACAGTAGCAGTAGTAGTAGCCTAGAATAGAGCTAGCCTCAGTAAGTTGAGTTAGTAACAGTAATTACTGTAACAGTACGTACGACGTACGGCATTGTTACACTCACAATCACATACCATCAGCGGTTGCATCGTCAACTTCCACATCTGCATTTGCCACACTTATACTTATAGAAAGGAGCAAACAAAATATAATAACAGAAGCTTTCAAGACAGCCATGTTTATTCTTTTGCAGCAAACTGTCCTTCGACAGACTGCAAAGCTTAGGCTATTAGAAGATGCAATGCACTTAATTGCACACACCGGCCTCCAGCTAGCTGCTAGTCGGAAGTCGGAAGAAGAAGATACCTGTCTGCCAACTTGATCGCACCATCAACATCCGGGGGCAAACAGAAAAAGTGCAGCGAACTCAAACGTACTATTTTGTCTCTACTGTATTTTTAAAACGGAAACAAAGGATATTGTTGAAATTAGTCTTATCAAAGCACATTTTGATATTTTTTTTATCTCACATTTTGCGAAAAAAATTGAAAGCCAACTGTTGTTTCCTATTATCATAAACTTACAATATGCGCATTGATAACCACATCATAGCCAATCATGAAAGGACAAGTAAATTAGCAGACCACGCGCACGTGTAATAAATAGATTCTAAAGGTTGTTATTTGTGCAAGATAGTTGGCATGCTTGTAGAGATCTAAAAAAACAGGTTTCAAGTTTTGTAGTACTACTTGCTTGACCAGTTCAAAACAGGTGTTGCTTTTCACTATTTCTGCAGCACTTTTTTTTTCCAAAACGGAATAGACCATTAGATCTAGATCTATATTAATTATTGTGATTCCTCTTGCAGCCCAGATCAGAAATACATACAGTGAACTCCGTCCAAGAGCACTCCGCTTAAATTGATAATAATATGTACATTATTTTGCCCCAATATAGATATACTGCCATCAAATTGGCCACCAGGGGAACACGGCACATGGTATCGAATAAACGGGGTGGGGGTTGGGGGGGGGGGGGGTAGGAATAAACGGGGTGTGTGGACAAGTGGTCCAAAATAATAAACCACATTCGACCTCATACCCCTGTACACTGGTACTAGTAGTAGGAACTATTTAAATCTGTTTTATTTCTCCTTCGGTGAATAAAAGAACAAGAGATCGTGAAATTTTAGTGATTTTAGTAAGTTACTGTGACAACTTTTACCTATTTAGGAACAAACCAGTTTCTTCAAAAAAATGTAAACCAATGTACAAAAGTTTTATAAATACGTGTACTCAGAAAGGTAGCCAACCCGGGGCCGGCTCCGCCGGTACTAATATTCAAATATGATGGAATTTTGCCATTTACAACAACATAACAAAAAATATTTCATTCAGATATCTTGATTCTAGATCTATAAGGTTGCTTTTAACAAGGACAAGCGAGCTAACCCATATTTCAGGGGATTCCAGAAATCTTGACTTACACCAAAAGTGGGCATTGCCCTGCCTATAGGAGAAGTTTGGCTTAGAGTAAACTCTCATTGTCTTTTAAAGAAAAGCGACCATATAAATAATGTTTCACATGATTGTCGGTCGTGGCTAGCTGGAAAATAATAAGCGAGGGGTATGGAATAAGGAGGGGAGGGGGGTGCCTAAAAAAACGGAAAATTAATAAGTGGGGTGGGGGCTTATTCGATACTTTAGTGTGGCACTGTCTCGATGGCTACTTGATCTCTTTCCCATAATATAATACGTCTCTGCAAACTCGGACTATTTCCAGCATTTATTGTCGATTTGCTCCTGTGTGACATTTAAGTTGCTGGGTGAAACTTCAAAAGAAGTGTGCCTCCTGCTTGACCTGCCGGCAAAATAAATGTCGCCATTGCCTGATCAGCTTGATGGCCAAAAAGGCTGGCATGAGGCGCCCGCTTTTAAGTTATTGTGAGGACTTGTGCTCAAGTCTACAAGACAGCTCTAATATTTAGGGACCCAAGGACTGACGAGTAGGCCTATCGGTTGTTGTTTTTTTAAACCGTACGTCTGTATGGTCCTTGACACATCTAATAGTGTTAGCTTCCTGTCCCAGCTTCTTTTAATTTGGATTTACATAAAGTTTAGCCCCCCCCCCCCTTCCCGGGCAGTAACGTGCTACTGACTGAAGTTGTCTTTAGCCATTTCCAAAGGGGAATATTGCACAAATGGGCGGATTTATCAATGTCATACTAATACTCTGCCGGAACAACATAGGGGGAACTGCTGCTTTTTCTTTCCTCATCCTTACTATCGTCAGTCTTTCCTCTACATGCACTTCTTTTGTATGTTTGTCACTCTCTTGACTGCTATTTCCCGGGTGCCTTGATAGTCGAAGCAGATTTTGTACTGTTGAGGCTAAAGAAATGAACAGAGTAAGTCTGATTCCCCGTTTGGACGTTCTCTGTTGACATCCATCACTTGGCGCTCATGTGACCTTATGCAGCTGCGAGCGCAGTAAAACCGTACTAAAACAAATAAAGTTTAACTGGCGTTTCACATGTAATTGGTAACGTATTGTTAATTTTTTCCTGTGAGTAGAAATCGCGGAAGACAGATCTACATGTAGTTGAGGCAAAACTGGCCTTAGTTTGTTTCTAGTCTCTTGCCTTTACTAGTCTTCCACTAATAAAAATGGCAATCTTTGCTGTCCCATTATACCGCCTGCCCCGCTGTACCGCCAACTTTATGCTCGTCGCAATTAGTAAACAGTATAACGAGGTTTTACTGATATTAATGTGGGTATGAGTCCAAAACAAACTGTTGACATGGGGGGGACGATCGGCACACACTGTGCAATGTACAGTATAAAACCCAGAGCTCGAATTCGTCGGGACCGGCCTCGGTAGTTAGAGTTATCCGTAGTTCGAGAGATCTCGTACAAAGATAAAGAAGGGAAAAAAATGGGAACGCAGGCACAGTTCCGACTAATGCGTAATTTCGAGTCTTCTGTGTTCGACCTATCTGTGTTATACTGTTTTTGCGACACGCTTGAGCAGTCTATTAACCTATTTGCATCAGCTTTATGCACATACTGTTAACTGTATATTGATTCAAATGTTTATTTTGTGAGACAAATTAACAAAATATTATTTTTGTTAATGTTATTTTGTACTTTCATGCCACTAGACGAATGTGCCTATCCTGAAATCAAGTTTGAAGAAAATGGTTCTGGTCTTACTTTGTTTCTCGTTTGTTTTTGTTTTTTTTGTCCACTTTTGAGGGCGTGTCAAACCGCCTCAAAGGAAAATAAAGGCTTAGAGAGTTAACTAAAAAGAACCGAAATAAAATATAGGCTCAAAAGTTTGCTGCTGCCCTGTTTGTTCATAGCTTTAACTTTTCACTTTGCATCCATGACAAGGACGCAAGACTCAGGTGCTGCTTAGGTTGTTACTCTTTATATATTGAAGAACTTGTCTTTCATCAAATTGTGATACATTTGTATAAGGTCAGCAGGGAGTTCACATACACTGCACTGCTTTGGCCTTTCTATTCTACAGTTTATCGATTTGCCATATCGATGATCTCGGTGGTACCCAATATGAAATAGGGATTTATCAGTGCCAGCTGTGAAAAGACTTTTGATTTATCGCGTGAGTTACTCTACTAGGCCTACTATCTCCTGTGACTGCATGTCGTTGCTTTCCCTGTTCACAATTCCCAGAGCATCATTATTATGCTTTTATATTTTGTGCTTATTCATTGTAATAGAGGATTTTGCCTATATTATGTTGTATTAGGTCAGTGATCTTACCGTCTACCACTCTGGGGATTTCCGATTTTGTTTGTTTGTGTGTGTGTGTGTGCAGGGGCGAAGCGTCTATATAATCAATCACTGCTTCCCTTCCTAATTTTGAAACATTGTCGCTGTCAAATTCATCCTTAAATGTAAACCTCTTAAATTAAAAGTAAAAAGAGGTTCGTAATCCACAATGAGCATGCCTAACATTCAAAACGGTTTCACGGTCACAGAAATAGCCTCCTCACCCCTCTCGGGCCACTCCATAAATAATCAATCGCAAGCTTTGATTAAGTAAGCTTAAAGTGAGGCTGAAAGAGTCTACCATTTAATACAGTTGAGGGAACATGTGCATAGCAGTCATGGCTGTTTCATTGCCACAAATACCCTGTTCACCCCTTTGGGGCCACAGTTAAAATCAATCACAAGCCCTGATTAAGTAAGCTAACGAACACTGGTCGAGTCTACCTCACAAATGTGAGGGGAATTAACTCCTAACAATCTCTTTACTGCTGCATGTGCTTGATTTTTTTCCTCGACTTTTTACTGTCCTATAATCAGATCGTGACCTCGATTATGACACCAGCTCCTGGCCGCGAAAGGCTAACAAAAACAGCCAAATGTGAAATTTAAAAAATGATAATTGTCATGTTCTACCAAAGAGTTAGACTCTCTGGTAGATCTATAACATATAGATCTAGTACTGACATCTCTGCTTCTTTGCTTTGTGTTTATGTATTCACATCTAAAGTTAATTTAATTTTAGTTGGAACTGATATTTAATAAGATACTTTCCCGATTATTTTGGCGGTTGAACATACAATATGAATTCCGGATTTGTTTTCATTTACAACTCAGTCAGAGTCGCCGCCTCGAGTAAGATTCTTATGTGATATCTACAGGCCATATAGATCTATATCTGGTCCCGTTTCACTTTGATTACCCTGTCAAACAAGTCAGCCTTCGCCCCTGTGTGTGTGTGTGTGTGTGTGTGTGTGTGTGTGTGTGTGTGTGTGTGTGTGGTGTGTATGGGATATTTTTCTGGACATAGTATATCTATCTAGTTATCTGTCTCTATCTATATTATATAGATCTATCGCTGTCTGTCTGTCTGTCTGCCTGTCTATCTGTCTTCTATCTATCGTATATGTCTGTCTGTCTGCCTGTCTGCCTGCCTGCCAGCCTGCCTGCCAGCCTGCCTGCCTATATCTGCCTATCTGTCGGTCTGTCTTAATCTATCAAAACACGTATAGTAATTTGATGTGACACAATCAGTACTCCGTGAGACCAAAGCCAGGTCTGTGTTACAGTCCAGCACTTTAAAAACAACCTACGGTAAGCTAAAAGTTACAATTCACCCTGGTTTTCTCACGGAGTACATTATAAACATCATTATTGCTGATATAATAACTACGTACTAGAGTATACGAGCGGTTCGGATCGGAAAAGAGGACGAAAAAGCATGACTGTATCTTCTAAAAATTGCCATATATATCATCCGTGAAAAGACAAGTTGGCATTGGGCGAAGCGATGAGGCAAAGAACAATTTTCCAAAGAAATTATATCAAGTATAATTTTATAGCTTTTTGGG